CAGTGAAGATATCAAAATTTAGGACTGCTCAAGTCCCTTACATAAAATGGCATTGTGGGGCTGGAGAAGCAGCTCAGTGGTTAAGAGCACTGGTTGCTCTTGCAGAGGACCTGAGTTTGGTTCCCAGCACCCACATGGCAGCCTACAACCACCTGTAACTTCAGTTCCAGGGGATTTGATATTCTCTTTGGTCCTCTGCAGGCCTTGCACATACGATGAATTTACATACGTGCAGATAAAACTCATACACATACAATAAAAATAAAGAAACTGATAAATAAATAAAATGGCATTGTATTTGCATTGTTTTGGCATGTTTATCCTATTGTGCACTTTAAATCCTCTCTAAATTACTTTAATACCTAATGCAAAGTAAGTGCTATGCAAATATTGTTAAATATTTTGATTAGGGACTAATGCCAAGAAATATTCTGTATATATTCAGTACAGATGCAATTTATTTTTTAAATTTTTTAACATGCATTTGGTTGAATCCATGGATTTAGAAATGTACATACTAATTGTTGACTGTACTAGTATTGAGATCCTTTTAAAATTAAACGCACAGCTCTTTGCTAGCTTAAATGTTGAAACTCAGTATGTTGAGTTACTCCAAGATCACTAGTTTGAACAACTGAACTGTAGGAATGCAAATTGCTATGACAGGGGAAAATGGAGAAAAGGGAGGTTGAGGTGCCAGTAGGTGGCCACAAGCTGTTTTAGACCTATTAAAATGGAGATTCCTGTGAGGCATGCAGATGGAAATGTCATGAGCAGTTGTTTAAACAAGTTAAGCTCTAGGCTACAGTTGAATTGAGTGGATCCTTTGCATTGGGTTTGTGTTCAGAGAAACTCAAGGCTGGAGAAAGAATGGGATGAAGATTTATTGATTCCCCAATAAATCCCAAACACTCAACATGCTACAGGTGTTTCTAAGGCATATACTCATTCTCCAACACCTATTTTCTCCATGTCTGCCCAAATAGCTCCAAGTCCCTAGAACAGCCTGACTGGGATGCAATCAGAGGCCACTTGGGACATGTTTACTGCAGACACTAAGACAAACCAGTCTCACTTCCTCCCTCCCAGGGTCCCTACAGGGTTACTGTACCTGGATATATTGAAAGTCCCAAGAGAGGTGACTATAACAGCAAAGCTCTCAGGGCACTGAACTGAGCACTGTAGACACAAATTACAGTGATGAGCCTCTGGATATATAGCACTCCTGGTTTTTTGATCTAAATTTTAGTATCTATCTACTTCATGAAAATGCTCTAAGAACTGGGATGATTCTCTGAGTCACCAGGAGAGCACCTTAAATAATGCGGATTGCCAGGACCTGTGCCAACAGAAGCCCTCGTTCACTTGGTCTGGGCTGTGACTCAGTCTGCATTCCCATTTGAGTCATGCTGGTCCAGGGTATTGCCTAGATCAGCTGATTTGAAGAGTGCCGAGTTGACAATTTTCCCATAGGTATCTACCTCAGTGATTTCTCTACAACTTGGATAACTACAGAAGTTTAAAAATAAAGAACCAGGGGCTGGAGAGATGGCTCAGTGGTTAAGAACACTGGCTGCTTTGCAGAAGACCCAGGTTCAATTCCCAGCACCCATATAGCAGCTAACAACCATCCAAAACTCCAGTTCAAGGGGATCCGATGCCCCCTTCTGGGCACTGCACAATACAGGTGCACTAACACACATGCAGGCAATACACTCATACACATAAACTTTTGAAAAATACTAAAAAATATAAATAAAATAGTCAGTTGTTTTGACATATCTCCTCTACACTTGCCAGCATTAGTTCTTTCAGAATCTCAAATGTGAAAAACCCAACCTGTCCAGAGCAGCAAGTACATTGACAGTCCCAGTGAGTCCTCTCAGTCCCAGTACCAGATGTGCCAATGAAGGAACTCCCAGCCTTCAATCTCCTCCAACTTCAGTTTCTCCTAACTCAGCCCCAGACATCACAGAGCAGAGACAATCTGTCCTGCCTTGTCCTGTTCAAATTCCTAATGCAGAAAATGATGCTGGTAATAGGAAGACAGAGTTGGAGACTTGACAGTGCAATTATTGGAATGGTTGCTAAAGTCTTTTCTCAAGAAAAATCTATTAAGACACAAATACATGTCTTTGAAAGATAACCTCAGATGAACATACAGTCTGTGTCTAACACTTGGATTTTGGGACATGATATTATCATCTACAAAGTTCATATTCAAGACTTCACAAGCAAGTCACAAAAAGTAGAAACACACACACACACAAAATCTCATAATCTCTTAAGTAAATTTACAGTTGTGTTGGACCACATTCATAGCTATCCTTGGCTACATGCGGCATGGTATGCTAGTTGGATACCCTTTGATGAGCAAAGCTACAGAAATGAGCTAAAAGATGCTCTCCTCTTTCACTGATACGGACTCAACATGTGGTAGAGATACCTAAGTTGCTTCAAGAACAGAAGAAAGCCAGCCTGACCTTGAAGACAGCATGGCAAAGACAGCAGGGCAAAGACAGCATGTTAAAGACAGTGTGGCTAAGACAGTGTCCCAAGGACAGGACAGGCAGCACTTAATGTCATTGTGCTGAAGGCTGACTCTAATCCCTCTGCTCTCTCACCAGCTGCAGTTATTTAAGCCAGTTTCCCAAACATCTTTGCCTAGTGCTAAAAATCACCCAGAGGGCATATAGCAACAAGTGCCAAAGTTCATTCTTATCACTAGGCAAGGCTGGAAAACACTGCACTATAGAATTTTAAATGAAATCCAACCAAAATAGCTAATATGACAACCATCTCCCACAAGAATCACAGTTCTGGGACTAGCGAGATGGCTCTCCGTTTAAAAGCACTGGCTGCTCTTGCAGAGGCCCTGGGTTCAGTTCCTAGCACCCACATGGCAGTTAACAATTGTTTTTCATAACTCCTGTTCCAGGGGATCTGACACCCTCTTCTGATCTCCTTGGGTATTGCACAACATGGGTGCACTTACATAAATGCAGGCAATATCATCTTATACATAAAATAAAAATAATAAAAAGTTTTTAAAAATAATCACAGTTTTGTCATTAAAAATAATAATTGTGATCTTTATTTTGGGGGGGTTGGGGTTTTTTTTTTTCTTTTTGTCTTTTTGAGACAGGGTCTCCCTGTAGCCCCAGATGACCTGGAATTAGCTATGTAGACCAGGTTGTCCTCGAACTCACATAGATCCACCTGCCTCTGCCTCCTGAGTGCTGGGACTAAAGGCATGTGCCACCACGCCCGGCTCTGTGATCTTTATTTTTGTAAAACAAACAAAACAAAATAAAAAACAAACAAGTTCTTGAATCTTGATAATATAATCACAGCAAGTCCAATTACAATGGAAGGAGTTGAAAATATTAGAATTCACTTGCTAAGCAGACACTATTAATTATATGTGTGTGTGTGTGTGTGTGTGTGTGTGTGTGTGTGTGTGTGTGTGTATAAAATTGGGGTTTTGAGACAAGGTCTTATTTAACCCAGGCTAGCTTTAAACTCACTATGTAACCAAAGATGTATGTAGCCTTGAATTCCTGATTTCTCCTACCCCTTCCTTCCAAGTACTGGGATTACAAGCATGTGCCACCATGCCAGGATTACATTAAATATTTTAAATATAAATGCCTTCTATAGAGAATGCTTATGACTATTTCAATTGATGAACTAAAAAGAAGAGAGATGATAGGTTGAATAGTCATGATCTTATTCAAGTTATTTTTCAGTGCAAGTAAAAATATCACAGAGCAAGACATACACCCTGCACTCATCAGGATTGGAGAAGAGCTATAAATTCTACCTTAATAACTGACATTGATATGTAATTCCTAGCCCAACCACCTCTCACTCCCACAGTTTGCATAATCACTTGAACCTCATTTCAAATTATTAATATAAAGACGAGCACTTTTTTCATAAGAATATATCTATAGTCTTGTAAAAAGAAACTATGGTGGGGGTGGGGTCTCTTAGCCATGATTCACATAATAACCAGTAAAACTTTCAAGTTCTACATGTAATGGAGGCTGTCTTCATAATATGGTGCTGATCCATATCAGTGAGTTTATATATCCCCAGATTCTAGTCCTCCCCAGAGAATGATAGTAATTTGGGTTCCATTGATCTCTTTTATTTTATACTCGTTTCTGGAGAGCCTTTAGCAGTCGCACAGTGTCATTTGCAGAGTAACACTCACATCCCTCTCTGATTCCAAGAATTTGAAGAGAAAATAAAATGCCTGTGGAAGTTGCATTTGTATTGATGAATTATAGGAATTCCATGCATTAAAAATAGCAGCTCCAGACCAGAAAGATGACTCATCAGAGGAAGGTGCTTGCTTGCCTCATAAGCCTGGCAACCAGAGTCAATCCCCAGGACCCATGTAAAGGTGGAAAGAGAACTAACACCACAAAGTTATCTTCTGACTTCCACATGGGTACTATGGCATGCATACACACACTAATAATAATTTTTTATTGATATATTTGTTTTCATTTTATGTGTATGAGTGTTATACCTGCATCTGTGTAAGTGCACCCATGTTGTGCAGTGCCCATGGAGGACAGAAGAGGGCATTGGATTCCCCAGAACTGGAGCCATGGACGGTTGTTAGCCACTGTGTGGGTGCTGGGACTCAAACCTGGGTCTTCTGCAAGAACAGCAGTGCTGGGGCTCAAACCTGGGTCTTCTGCAAGAACAGCAGTGCTGGGGCTCAAACCTGGGTCTTCTGCAAGAACAGCCAGTGCTCTCAACCACTGAGCCATCTCTCTAGCCCACTAATAATAATTTTTAAATAGAAGTTCCTTATAACCTTAACTTAGAAGCCTATATGTGAAGATTGTAGATTACCTATTCAGTAACAGCAAGAACTTGTCAGTTCCGCCATTTATCTTAGGTTTGTTTGATTTTTCTGGCCAAGGACAAGAAGGCCCCCTGGCCGCTCACTGCCTGATTGTGTTCTGTTCTCTGTGTCCCAGAGATGTGTCTTCCACCAGTGTTACTGCCCTACCATCCAAAGGCCTGGAGCACCTGAAAGAACTCATAGCAAAAAACACTTGGACTCTAAAGAAACTTCCTCTCTCCTTGAGTTTCCTCCACCTCATACGGGCTGACCTGTCGTATTCGAGCCACTGCTGTGCTTTTAAGAATCAGAAGAAAATCAGAGGGTAAGTAGTAGGGGCCTGAAATAACGAGTAGAGGCTGTGGTGGAAGTGGGATTCATTTCTGAGTTTGAGAAAGAATGTCTGTGGTTTGAAAGCCAGGACGAAAAGAACTGGAAGCATCCACATGAGCCGGAAACCCATGGGCCAAGTGATTGTGGGTGAAAAGCAGGTGCAGATGAGAAATAAGGCCAGTGTTGCTGGGTTACCGTGAGGCAGGGGAGGTAAGAACAGATGCTTGTAGTGGAGACGGGTCTCATTATGTCATGTAAGACTTTGTAGAGAGCATGCAGACATGATTTCTGCCCTCCACAAGCAACACATATGAGTCAACAGAACCCTAAGGACAAGCTTACAAATAACACCACATATGGACAACCGGAGCAGTATGGTTCCTTACATATGTCAAAGCTCATGGACTTTGAAAATGGCTTGGCTTATATCCCAGCTCTGCCAGTTTCTAGCAGTGTCATCCAGTCTACTTAACTACTCTGAGTCTTTGACAATGGAGATCATAATTCCATCATTCATAGGGGTTTTAAGATGAAGAGGCTGAATGAAAAACATCTGGAATTCAGTGAGCTGGACTGTAGTTAAGTTCTCATTACTGAGAACTTACGTATTAACTATGATACATACATAAATAGCATTTCAATATCTGGCTGCTTGCAAGACCACAAGGGAAAGATGCGCTTCTTTACTCTCAAAGCTAGCTCTGATTCTTGCTTTTGCTCTGCCTATTTGTAGGACCACCTATTCTAACCCCACCTTCATTTACCTACTTCAACCTCCTTTGGTTTCTATATAAGTATCTATTAGATGACTCCTACACTCCTATATTCAATCAGAAAAAAATAATAATAAATGCATCAGGACCTAGTTAGAGAGGCAGAAGAAAACAGGAAAGTTGAACAACTATGCAAAGAGAGCCATCATAGGCATGACTGTCTGGGCATGGGGATGTTGACATCAGATGCTATACTAATGCCACATGGCACTGATCAGGAAAGGATTGGGGATGGGCATGGACCTTAGGGACAGCTGTAAATCTGGTGAGGTAGAGAAAAATAAATCTTCTCTGAGTATGCCTGTGTGCTATGACCATTTCCTCATTTGTTCAGCAAATATTTGATGAGCATCTCCCGTGTGCCTGGCACTGTTCCGGGTATGAGACTACTTCTTGCCTACTGCTTACAATGTAATGGAGGAAGTCAGAAAATAAAGAGGCAAGAGAAGAAGAAAATATCTAACAGTGCTTTGAAGGAATTAAGCCCAAGGCCGGGGTGATTTATTTAAAGGGATTGGGAAGACTCCTGTGGAAAAGCAGCATATGAAGCTCAGGATGGTGGCATATGCCTTAATCCCAACACTTGGGAAGCAGAGGCAGGCTCCTTGATCTGAGAGATCAAGGCCAACTGGGGCTCCAGGAGACCCTGTTTCAAAAAACCAAAACAAAGCATACAAAAAAAGTTTACTATATGGGACTGGAGAGATGGCTTAGCTGGTTAAGAGCACTGGCTGCTCTTGCAGAGGATCCAAGCTCAGTTCCTAGGACCCAATAGCAGCTAACAACCATTTATAATTCCAGTTCCAAGGGATCCAGTGCCCTCTTCTGGCCTCCACAGGCACCAGGCACGCATGTGGTGTGCTCACATACATGTGGGCAAAACATTCATACACATAAAATTTTCAAAAAGAAAGAAAAGCAGCACATGTTTAAATTTGTATAATGGGTAGAGGTCATCATGAGTTTCCAGGCAAAGGGAGCATGGTGCTTTGGAGCTCTGAATAGGAATACTGTTAACAACAGTAACCAACACATAGATGACATGGTCAGTCTGATGCTCCCAGAACTGTTATAACAGTGTAAAAAAGATACTCTATTCTTTCAATGCTTATCCCTTTTTACAAAGGAATAAACCAAGTTGCACAGACCTGTTCAAGCTGTCATAGCTAGTAACTTTTATAGCCAGGTTATAACTTGGCTACAACATCCATGCTTTTATATCATGACTAGTCTTCAAGTGGTTCTAGATGATAAGAAATAAGATCAATGTCACTGGTCCCAGGAGAGATCAAGTAATATAAAATGATGTAGCAGGGGGTGGAAAAGATGACTCAGCAAGTAAAGGAGCTTGCCACCAAGTCTGATGATCTGAGTTCCATCCTGGGACCCACATGGTGGAAAGGAAAACCTGACTCCCACAAGTTGTTCTTTGAACTCTACACGTGCACTGTGGCACATGCATGCATACAGAAATGAATAAATCTTTTGAAAATGGTGTAGCCGAGACTGGCCTGACCAGATCATGAAGAGTCTTCAGCATTATATACATCAGAGTAAGTAACCTGCAGATCTTCCCAAGTGTCAAAGGGCTCACTTGTGGATTTTGAGCAAGTGGTGACTCATCTTTGTTGTCTTGCAGAATCTTGGAGTCCTTGATGTGTAATGAGAGTGGTATGCAGAACCTGCATCAAAGAAAATCGGTAAATGTCTTCAGAGGCCCCATCTACCAGCAATATGAGGAAGATGAGGATGACAACAGTGTCGGGTACAAGCAAAACTCCAAGTACCAGGAGAGCCCCAGCAACTCTCATTATTACGTCTTCTTTGAAGAGCAAGAGGATGAGATCATAGGTTTTGGTCAGGAGCTCAAAAACCCTCAGGAAGAGACTCTCCAGGCTTTTGACAGCCACTATGACTACACTGTATGTGGGGATAATGAAGACATGGTGTGTACCCCGAAGTCGGATGAGTTCAACCCCTGTGAAGACATCATGGGCTACAAGTTCCTGAGAATCGTGGTGTGGTTTGTCAGTCTGTTGGCCCTCCTGGGCAATGTGTTCGTCCTGTTCGTTCTTCTCACCAGCCACTACAAACTGACCGTACCACGCTTTCTTATGTGCAACTTGGCCTTTGCGGATTTCTGCATGGGGATATACCTGCTTCTCATCGCCTCTGTAGACCTGTACACTCACTCTGAGTACTACAACCATGCCATTGACTGGCAGACAGGCCCTGGGTGCAACACAGCTGGTTTCTTCACTGTCTTCGCCAGTGAGTTATCCGTGTACACACTGACAGTCATCACCCTGGAGCGATGGTATGCCATCACCTTCGCCATGCGCCTGGACCGGAAGATCCGCCTCAGGCATGCCTACACCATCATGGTTGGGGGTTGGATTTGCTGCTTCCTTCTTGCCCTGCTGCCTTTGGTAGGAATAAGCAGTTATGCCAAGGTCAGCATCTGCCTGCCGATGGACACCGACACCCCTCTTGCCCTGGCGTACATTATCCTTGTTCTCTTGGTCAATATCGTCGCCTTTGTCATCGTCTGTTCCTGTTATGTGAAGATCTACATCACTGTCCGAAATCCCCAGTATAACTCTCGGGACAAAGACACCAAAATTGCCAAGAGGATGGCCGTGTTGATCTTCACTGACTTCATGTGCATGGCCCCGATCTCCTTCTATTCCCTGTCAGCACTTATGAACAAGCCTCTTATCACTGTTACCAACTCCAAAATCTTGCTTGTTCTCTTCTATCCCCTCAACTCCTGTGCCAATCCATTCCTCTATGCTATTTTTACCAAGGCCTTCCAGAGGGATGTATTCATCCTGCTCAGCAAGTTTGGCATCTGCAAACGCCAGGCTCAGGCATACCAGGGTCAGAGAGTCTGTCCAAACAACAGCACTGGTATTCAGATCCAAAAGGTTCCTGGGGACATGAGACAGAATCCGCCCAACATGCAAGATACCTATGAACTGCTTGAAAACTCCCACCTAACTCCAAACACACAGGGAAAAATCTCAGAAGGGTATAAGCAAACAGCCTTGTAAATGGCACTATACTATTCATAGTGGAACCTTAAAAACTGGTTTCTTGACATGCATTCCAATCCTATGACATGTGAACACACAGCTGACCTATTGCTCCTACAGGTGATGTTTCATAGGTCCAGAATTCATCTCAACAGAGTATGATCTCCAAGAAAGAAGAGCTATCAGCATATCTGAATCCCTGGTGATATGGAAATAATTGTGCTTTCTGGAGGCTTTGCTTGATGCTGAGTCTATGATACTGCGTAACATGTGCCACAGATAACAACTGAACAATTTCAACATCTATCTTCCTTGCTTTTATAAAGCATTTCATACTAAAGATTCAGCAAATGACCAGTGTATCTGTGTACGTAAGCAGCCCCATTTCGGCTCCCCTGATATAGTCAAAGAGGTTTTAATTCCTTGAAACTAAAATGCCATACTTGGGAGGTGGAAGCAGGAAAATGTAAAATTCATCCTTAGATACATGGTGAGTTCCAGCCTGTGCTACATGATAATCTGTCTCAAGATACAAAGAAAACAAAACAAAACAAACCCTAGAAAGCCAAACACAACTAGAGATCATGCAATTGCTCTAAGGAGCCATAAAAGAGGGAAAGGTTTAGCTTTGAGTTGTGTTATTCTCATGCCTATGAAACTATCAATCATCTCTTTACCAGGAGCTGCCTGATATGACCCAGATGTTATATAATGCCCAGAGAAACCAGTCAGATTTGAGCATATGTGGCATAGCAAACTAAGAATTTATCTTCTTGACTAGTCTTATACATGGAAGGTGTGAGTACTGGAAAATATTTCTAATCAACCAATGAGAATTAGGATAGAGCATACTACATCACCTGCTGACTAACATAGCTAACCACCAGTTAACTGTAGGGCTTTGGGCGAGTTCCTAGGCCTCCAAATTCTGTAGAAATGAAGGAACTCAATATCCTTTCTCATTTCAAAACCTCTCGTATATCTCCCCTTCAAAAGATATATTTTCATGACAAAGAGAGCCAGCACCAAGTGAACAGAACCTGATCTTCCCCCTTTGCAGGGCTGCTGTCCACTTCTTTTTCAAAACAAGACAAACCACCAAGGAAAATTTTTCTGTATTTAATTCTTGGTTATCATGTCTGACTCAAAAATTCTGTTGAGTGATTATATTGGGTCAGGTTTAAATTATTCATCTAATTATTAAATCTATACTGCTGTCAAGTCAAAACAGTCTGGAATTTATGTACTAGCTTAATGGTAGTTACAGTAAAACTTGGGTTGTTAAATGGTGATGAATGCCTTTAATCCTAGCACTCCTGAGGCAGGGGTGGGGGCAGGTGGCTCTCTGTGAGACTGAAGCAAGCCTGGTCTACATAGCGAGTTCTAGGCCAGCTGTGGATATAGGGAGACCATGTCTCAAAAAGCATTATATATATATATACACACACACATATACATATATATGTATTTAACTTATCTTCATAGATTGGTTTTGCAGCCCATAGTGCCACACTAAAGCAGGGCGGGGGTAGGCAATGGCTTTTCATCTGACAGCGCCTGTTCCTTCTAACCCTACCAATCACTGGACATAAAGCCTTTATTTCCCAATAGTACTTCTTTGCTTCAGTCAGGAGCTGTATCTGTAAGTGTGCTCTCCAGGCTGCCTGCCGGGATAGCCCCCTAATGTCCCTAGTCAGAGCCAGCAAAAGCAGGAAGTAAAGGGGTTTTGTCATTTTGAGTCTGTGCAGTTAGGCTAATGAGTCCTCAGAGATGGTGCCCAGATGACTCCCCTGGAGTCTCACGACCATTATATAAACACTGGCTTTCCAAGCAGTTCATTTGTAACTAATGAAATTAAACAAATGTGCTACCTTTTGGCATGTGTTTCTCTCTTGTGACATTCTGAAATATCACATCTGGACAAATAATGTGCATTATCTTGAGTAGCTGATCTAATGCTTCAGAAACAAAGTCCTAAAAAAGTGAGTTTAACAAAATTGTTATTAAAATTCACGTTCACAGCATGAAATAAATTTTCTTTCTGTACTGAATCCCATAGTGGTTTTTTGTAATTTTCTTTCTGTACTGAATCCTATAGTGTTTTTGTTTTTTTTTTTGTAATTTGCAGAGTTTTTGAGGTTAACATTATTGGGGGCCAGGAGCGGTGGCACACGCCTTAATCCCAGCTCTCAGGAGACAGAGGCAAGTGGATCTCTGTGAGTTCAAGGCCAGCCTGGTCTACATAGTGAAGTTAACATTATACATACATGTTAAACCAAAGAGGGAAAAACACACTATGCACAATTGCTAAGTAATCAATATTGATAAAAAATTGATCAATAATTCCTGGAAACTGAATATGATAATGATTCATTAATAGGCTATTATGGCTAAAAGTGGAAAATAGTAAAATGGAATGCACCAAGAAAATGATTGTTGATGCTGGAATTTAAATAGTATCCTAATAAAATAATAAGCTTTAATTCCTCTCCAGCATTCACTTTGACTGCTATTTTAACTACATAAATGATGACCCCCATGAGTAGAATAAGCACCAGTAGGCCAAGAACTAGGAAATGATTCAACGGGAAAAGTCCTGCTGCATAAACATGAAGGCCCGAGCTTGAGCTCCAGCACGCATGTAAAAAGGCAGGGGTGGGCAATATGCACCTTTAATCCTGGCACTGGGGGAAATCGAGGGTCTGTGAGGCCTGCTGACAGTCAACCTAACCAGAGAGATCAGCTCCATATTTAGTGAGAGACTCAGTCTCAAAAAACTAAGAGGGAAAGCAATTGAGGAAGATCCCTGATGTAAACCTTTACTGCACCCCACCAGCACACACATGCACATGCACCCACATATACATAAACACCTATGTGTGAGCATACACACACACACACACCACAAACAGAATAAACAAAATTATCCATGTTAGTTCAATCAATTTCACAAAATTCATGTTCTAAAAGCTCATACATATTGCTCAGAAAAAGCCATCTTTGAAAAAAACAAATTCAATGACTCTTAATAATCTATGTAACAGAATTAATCAGTTAGGAGAGGAAAATGTACATAAGGCAGCACCATGATGATGGCAAAAAGACAAAAACAAAGATTAAAACAAAATCGTCACAATAATTAAAAAACAATAACAGACTAGAGAGTTAGCTCAGCCATTAAGAGCACTGGCTACTCTTGCAGAGGACCCGGGTTCAATTCCCAGCACCCAAATGGCAGCTAACAACCATCCATAACTTCAGTTCCAGGGGAATCCAACACTCTCTTCTGACTTCCACGGGCATTACACAACACAGGTGCACTTACATACATACACAACACAGGTGCACTTACATACATGCAGGCAATACACTCATACACATAAAATAAAAATAATAAATAAAATATTTTAAAAAACAGTAACAGTCTGAAAACAAATACTTAAACCCATTTGAAGTTTTCAGGAGAGACTATATTACAATACAGTAGAGTGATTCTTGTTCATTCTGCGTGTCTAAAGAGCTAAGAAGGTAACATTGCCAGCCAATCTAGGTGAATTGATGAGCTCCAGATTCAATAAGAGACCCTGTCTCAAAGAAAAGGTGGATACAGGAGGACACCTGACATTGGTCTCTGCCCTAAACAGAGAGGGAGGGAGGGAGGGAGGGAGGGGGAGGAGGGAGAGAGAGAGAGAGAGAGAGAGAGAGAGAGAGAGAGAGATATCAGTCTCTAAATCCAATACCTGTCAGATAAGGTGGTCTAGAGAAAGCATAGAGTGTCCAACAGCAGTCAAAGAACCATAAAGAGAAGAATCCTTAGCACTGGTAAAGATGGATGGTGTCTGCTTAGTGTTATGAAGGATGAGTGAAGACCTGCGAGTAGAATAGTACTTAAAAATATCAGAACTCAAGCTGGGTGTGGTGGCACATGCCTTTAATCCCAGCACTGGGAGGCAGAGGCAGGTGGGATCTCTATGAGTTCAAGACCAGCCTGGTCTACATAGTGAGTTCCAGGACAGCTGGGGCTACAGGGAGACCCTGTCTCAAAAAGACAAAAAAAAAAAAAGTCAGAACTCCTAAAAGAAGTTTCTTTTGCAATAGATGGAGACTATTAGAGTTCCATAACTGGTCACACACAGATTGTCTGTGAATTGCCCAACCCTAAGTGACACATCTACAATGAAACCTCTACACCTAAGGCTCATGGAACATAGTGGAAAAAGGGATAGAGAGAATACTGGTGCATCTCTCATCATCAACAAAGCTCCCCCATGCAGCAGAGAGCAATGAACACAAAAGACCACAAATGGCCAAAGTGCAGAAAATAAGAGTCTGCAAATTGTGGGTCCCCATAGGAGGCACATGATCATATGGAAAAAGTCTTATAGTCTCCTGAGACCTTGCTCATATGAACCTACAGCAATGGTGTCAGTATACACAGATCTGTGCAAACTCAATCACAAAAGCCAGCATAGAACTGGGGAAATGGACAGCAGGCCTCAACCTTAGCTGAATAACTACTGGCAGCTGATTGCTGCCAGGTAAAGGAGAGTTGATCTCCTTTAAGGGAGTGATGCTAAATAGGTTGACTAGATTCCAAGGGATGAACTTTCACTGAGGGACATTTGGGTACACTAAGTGACTCAATAGGCTGTTTTAACATATATGACAGAATTCATGAAATCCAGTGGGGCGGGCTATGGGGAGGTCTGGATTGGGGAGGAGGCACAAAGATGTTTAAGATGTTTTGTATGAAATGCACAAAAATTCAATTAAAAATATACATTACTAAAAGATAAGAAGTGCTGGTAGGAGTGTGGAGGAAGGGAGCCCTTGCAACAACTACTGATGGGAATGTAAATTAGTATAGACATCATGGAGAACAGTATGGAGGCTCCTCAAAAAATTAAAACTAGAGGGGCTAGAGAGATGGCTCAGCAGTTAAGAGCACTGACTGCTCTTGAAGAGGATGGAGTTCAGTTCTCAGCACCAACATGGCAGCTACCAACCAACCATAACCCCAGTTCCAGAGGATCTGATGCCCTCTTCTGGCCTCCACAGGCATTGTACTCATAGGTACAATTAAATGCAGGCAAAACGCTCATACACATAAAATTTTTTTAAGTTAATTTTAAAAATTAAATATGGAGCCAGGTATGGAGGCACACAGCTCTACTCCCAGTGCTAAGAGACTGAGGCAGAAGGAACAATCCCAAGTATGAGACCAGCCTTTGCTATGTAACTTGACCCTGTCTCAAAAAAAAAATAATAATACCATATGACTCAACGACTTGTCTTCTGAGAATGAAATTGAAATCCCTATATCAAAAGAGGATCTCTGGGTCTGGAGAGACACTTCAGTAGTTAAGAGCAGGGGACTTGAGTTTGGATCCCAACGCCCACATCAGACAGTTCACAAATGCTTGTAACTCCAGCACCAGAGGATCTGGTTCTCCAAGGGCACCTGTACTCATGTACACATACCCACATGCATATAGATACATATATG